TGTGTGTGTGGGGGGTGTACATTTTCATGGAACATTAAAACAACATGCTTTGACTGAACACTGGGTCGTTTTGGGGTCTCATGCACCGGAGGCAGGACTGTGCTGCATCTCGTCTCCAACTTCCCCTTCTGTTTTTTGGGAAATCCCAAATGGTCCTCTGTGTCTTAGATCAGCCAATGATTCTGGTTTCACTTCCCTCTTTCCTTTTTTATCAGTTTCATCTCCACTCAGCTCCCCCCACCTCCCCCCTTCAACCCACTAAACAACAACCGTGTACTCGTTCTCTGCAGTTTCAGATTCATCGTCTCTCCTCCACCTCCCTCTCCCTATGACTGGAGTCACTGGAGACAGGTATAGGTCTGCAGACATGAGTAATGTGGCTCAGACTGACTCATACAGCGAGACATCAGCCTTCAGTGTGGAGCCAGATATGACACAAGCACAAGAACAAACACACACACACACACACACACACACACACACAGAGTATATACTGCAGCAACACACAGGCAGACTTGTTGGTGCCGACAATATGAAACCCAGTCATGTAAATGGCCATTATCATCACCTTATATTGTGTGATCATTATTGAGAAACTTAAAATGAAGCCAGCAGTGATGAGATCAGACTGTTAACAGTAAACGGGTCTGTGACACAACACACACACACACACACACATCTGCCTGTGTGTCTGGGGCCAGTTGGGCGTTTACATTAAAATATGCAACAAAGTGCAAGTTGACAACTCAGAGTTTCATCTTTTTTATATTTTGCAGAACGTTAATCAACAACTGAAATATGTTGTGTTTTATTTTTGAGTAATCTTCAGTTCAACTGTAATCTACAGACAAACGACCTGAATGATATTAAGTGTAAGTTTATAATCATCATGATCTACTCTTAATTAGTACTTATTGTGCGGTTTATATGAAAAACACACACACAGACAGACATTCACGTGCGTACACTCCTCACTGCATTTATCAAGCATTTATTATTCATGCAAGAGTAATGTGAGGTGTCTCCATTTTAATGCCTCCTAATGGCTTTTCGAGTTACCGCTGCCAGCTATGAATAAATCATATCAGTCATGCAGCAGCCAATACCTCACTCACCCTGGCAGCGCTGAGCTGATCTATAGGTATGAGGTGTGTGTGTGTGTGTGTGTGTGCATGTGCGTGTGTGCCGACGTTTACACATTATAATCTCTTTCTGATTCAAAAGAAACTTAAAAGGGCTTGGAGAATAAATAAAGCCCAAGGTCTATGTTTTTGTGTTCTTATCTTGATAACGCAACACGTGCAAAGTGTATGCAAGTGTGTGTGTGTGTGTGTCTCTAAACAGGTTATAAGTCGCCCGTAACAACATCAAACACTGGAGTGCACATAGATCTTGATAGATGATCATAAGTGTGATGATACTACTGATATACAGTGTGTGTGTGTGTGTGTGTGTGTGTGTGTATACAGAAAATCATGCATGTTCACATAATAAGCCACACACTGTTGGGACTATTATTTTGTTCAACAGATATTCAGACATTATCTGCTGTCCAAGCAAAGAAAACATTTTAATAAACTAATTACAAGGTTTTCACTTTTCGGAAATAAAGTTTCCGATATGCAACTCATGAGAACACGTCAAACACTGTCCAGTTTGATAAACGTCCTGACAGTCATATCTGAATTCAAAACTTAGAATCTTTGATGGTATATAAATGGATGGCCGTCACATTTCTTTTGTGTTTTTATTTCATCCACTGACGTCATGCACATCTCTCTCTCTCTCTCTCTCTCTCGCTCTCCCTCTCGTTCACTGCACTGGCTGGGATGAAGTGGAATGGGAACATATCGACCCCTGGATGGCTCAGTATTGACGACTGGGTGGATTTCAGGAAGTGACCTTGGCTAACTCAGGCGAGCACCGGACCCGAGGCCGGCTCATTTTCCCACACGGCTCATCTCTGGCACCAGCTCTGACAACAGTGCACGACTTTGTATGTGAACTTTGGTCACTGCAGTTTGATCATAAGTCGCTGTCGTCATCCCTAAAATGCAGTCATGACGTTGGTAATGTGAGAAGGACTTTTTTGACTGCACACATTTATAGCTCTGGTATCACTAAGGAAGTTATCGATGATTCTATTCAAGTCTTTGTTGAAAAGAGCATTTGATTGTTTCTCTGGAGCTTTTTCCAACTTGTCTTCACTGAAAAAGGCTGATTCACATTCCACTTATTCACTTATCAACACAAATACAAAAACAGAAATGTCTCACTCAACTGTGGTCTTATCCAGATGTCTTTTAAAAGGTCCATAAAATGAATGGACTTCTGTCTGTAACAGGGATATTCTTTCTGTTCAGAGATGGATTTCTTTTTTTCAATATTGTGAGCACCACAAACTAAACTTCACTCGCTTTCATGGTTTTGGGATGGAGGCTGTGCTCCATTACACATATGAGAATGATTCACATCACTTCCACACTATAGACAAATAAATAGATAAATGGATGCACGGGTGATAGATAGACAGATAGATAGATAGATAGATAGATAGATAGATAGATAGATAGATAGATAGATAGATAACTGAAGCTATACAAAGCTGTGCATTAGATATAAATATAAGAGCACATTAACAAAACAGCAATATTGACAACATCCATGTGGAACATATGAAGTATCAGAAGTATTAAGAAGTATCATAAACATTAGTAGTGAGTGTGAAACTGAGGCCACAGTACATCCAGTGCAGGTCTGCTGTCAACAAGCATCCCACACCGCCCCCGGGTGGCTGACACAGGCATCACATCACATTTGACCAATTCCAATCGCTCCCACCAGCCTCCCGTCAATCATCACCGTGACTCCGCCTCTCCGTGAGCTGATTGGAGGCAGGGTTGTCAACGAGCCAATCGCGTGGCTCTGCCTCCTGTTAACAGGGCTCCTCTTCCGCGTGCACTGTGTGGTGCAGTTATTTATAGAAGCCTGGGGGGGGGGGAGTTAAAGAGAGAGTGAGAGCATGGGTGAGACAGAAAGAGACGAAGGAGGATGATAGGAGCTGAGAGAGAGAGAGAGAGAGAGAGAAGAGGAGAGCAGTCATTTTCTCAGGACACTTTTCATATTGATCTCATCTTTTCAGCTGCAGCTGCCTGAGAGATGCTCTTCTGTAAGAGGGGGAAGAGAGAGGAGAGAGGAAGAGTTATTTAAAGTCCCTGTGTACACAGTGAATGATCAGCAGGAGGACACACCATAAATTATATGATTAAATATGTCAAGATAAAACTCCCAGATTAGAAAGAGGTCAAATGATACAGACGCGTGTCAATAAAAAACACTGCGGTTTTTTTACTTACACGTTTGTCTTTAGGGCTGCGAATAACACCTACTTTCATGATAAGTTATCCCATCATCTATTTTTTTTACCCAGTTATCTTAGTCTACATTCAAAAGCCAGAAAATTGTGTAAAAAATTCTAATTACAATTTGTCAGAAAGGGATGAAATCCCCACTGACAAATGAATCCACTCTGGATCAAGTATCTATCTATCTATCTATCTATCTATCCAAATCTAAACGATGAATTACTTTATCTAAATCCGGTCATCTGAGAGTGCATGCAATGAAACAAATAACCAAACGTAAAGTACATTTTCTTCTGTTTGAGGACAGTTGCTTTCCAAGAAGTAGAACAATGGCCGACACTGTATTATAATTCACCCAGAGATATATTGTTTCTTACTGTTACTGCCGTGCCTGCACAGCCTCACAGAGAGGGGTCAGTGCACATGAACGCCTTTCCTGCTGAGATCTACAGCCTCCGATGGCATCTCTCTCTGGGTTTTGTTTGAGGGCTTTATTATGTTCCGTGTTCTCTGGTGGTAAAAATTACAGGGGGCTGAATTAACTGGGGGGCCCTGGCCCCATTGACCCCATCACCACCACCAATTTATACCGCTCTTTGTCAGTTGTGCCGGCTGCATTCCCTGTGCTTCCCTTAGGTTTTCATTAAGTACAGTGGCCTGCAGCAGACTGCACATGGCAGCCTCCTTATTCACCAGAAGACAATGAAATCAAATGACTCCTGTACTGGGATGATTCCACCAGGGCCTGAAGGTTTCTCTGTGTCAGTTAGTTGTTGATGCTACGTAAGCTTAAATAATAAACCTCTTGAAATGAGATTTTTGCACATAGCAGTGACTTAACTTAGCCACTATTGCATGAATCGTTACAATACTTACATTTGGAGAATCCTGCTGGAAATGCAGTAAAACCAGGACATTTGGTGCCTGAAGATGATATTTGCACTGATTGAGTTTGTCCGGTCATATAAACTCCAAAGTTCAGAGGAAAAAATGAATCAATAACTGACAGAGAAGCTATTAAACCTTGTTATTTAGCCATGAAAAGGGGTTTTAGCTGGATTTTCCTACAACTATTTGCAAATGTTCTTGTATAAACGAATTATTTGTGACCCATAAACTCACCGTGGGCATTTCGGTTTTGTATTAATTGAAGGTGAAGGTTTGTGGGATTTCACAAGAAAATAGCGAACAACACAGAAACATATTTCTCTGATAGTTTTCCCCTGAATGATCAGATGTGTCTTTCTATGTAACCAGCTTCATTAAAGTGTTTGGATGTCTGCATGGAGCATGAGCACATTGATTTCATCCCCCCCTCTAACAACAGTCTCCCACCTCCTCCATGTCCACAGCCCCCTGCGTGACACGCATTTTACGCACGGGAGAGACAGTGGGTCGGGTCTGTGTTTACTTCCGGACTCGGATTTAGACTCCGCTCAGAGAGCAGCAGCCCCAGTGGTGGTTCAGGCTGTCAGCTAGCACGGTAGCCATACAAGGCTGCATGACAGAGGTGACAGGGTTGACCGGCGGCTCCCCCCGACAGACCAGCCTCGCTCGGCGCCTCTGCAGACCGGACACCGCGACTCCGGGCGGACTCGCACCGCTCGTCCCCCCAGCTCCCCTCCGTGCCTCAAAGTCACCCGATGCTGCGCCGCCGCTACCAGCTAACACGCCGACCCGACTGTGCTCCTGCCGCTCCATGATCCGAGCTAGCCGCGGATCAAAACAAGGACGATCGCTGAAAGTTTAAGCGGCGTTTGCATTCGACCGACCCGGGATCCAGCATCCGAGAGAGCGACACGGGCCCCGGGGGGACAGCGACGGGACTCGGGGGTGGGGGGTCCAGGCGGCCAGGGCAGCGAGTGTGGTGGCTGGATAGACTCGGGGCTCGCCTCCAGCTCCTGGTGGATTTATCCCCTGCCGGCTAACGTTAGCTAAGCTAGCTCCGCTCAGCACCATGGACTGGTTGATGGGGTGAGTACACACGGCTAACTTGCTGAGCTAGCTTGCTCTCCTCTGACAGCTCCAACTGCGCAGTCCGTGAATCCACCGCCCTGTGGCTGACACCGCCGGGGTCAGCGTTAGACAGGTGCGCCATCGCGTTGAACACTGTTCGATTCCCACTTTGACGCGTTAATCTGCCTCTCAAGCGGGTGGCATGTTGCCTAGCGTAGCTTTAGCATGTGGGATGCTAGCTTGGTTTGTGAATCTGGCAGCGGTAGACCGACCTAATGTTACCCCCGGAGCAGGCGGCTTTTTTGGGCACCTGTGTGGCCTGCGGCTAACCACCCCTCCCGGGAAGATTTATGTATTGAGCGGCTTATTTATAGGAATGGTTAACACAGCAAACAGGCTAACGCTAGCCGCCTGTCAGAGGGGCTAACGCGGCTGTGCCCGGTTTGAGTTTATTTCCTGTGCAAGGTGCGCCGGGGTCCTGGAACCAGCGTTAGCCGACGTGCTAACCTACCAATGAGCCACATTTTGGGAATCAACAGATGCTCCTGTATCAGACAACATGTCTGTGATACCTGCAAGATACAGAGGGATAAACACAGATTACTCAGAAGCTGTGTGACTACACACACACACACACAGTCTCTGGGTGTACTGTGATTAGAGGTTGTTGAGTAATCTTTGTCAAATCTGGCCTTGATGTTGCAGGTGACACAAGCTGCTGCTGTTTCCTCACGTTATTCTGTTATCGTCTCTGTCATGAGTTTGGTGGATGAGGTGTAAGACGTCTCAGAATGACACCTGCTGTGAAGCCAAGGTTCACAGCCTTTGTATTCATGGTGCTGCACTGACACCATTAACCTCCCAAAGCTTAGTCTGGAATTAAAGACCTCAAATGAGTTAAATAAGTATTTTCTATACGAACATTAAAGCCACTGGATTATCTTGTCGGGAGGTAACTTGAATTTGCATGTAAGGAATCTCAGTTTTCTTTCATGCACGTCCTCGCTGAGTCCACAACGCACTTTTGGAGTTTCAGGGGTAAACATAAAATGCCTCTATTCTGCTCCGGAGGTGTCATTTAGGCTAAAATCTTGATGTAGATGAGGCTTACGGACACATGGCGTCACCACAGGGGCAGTGTGGAGGCGTGTTGTGTTCTTACGTTTGAAGAAGGAGTCACCAGTAACTTCAAATGAATTATATTTGGCTGCAATGCTGTTTAACCCTGAAACTCCAAAAGTCTCTTTTGGACTCAAACACTTCACCCACCTCTCCATCTGCATAGTGGTGAGTAGATAATGAGTGCATTTTCATTTCTGGGTGAAATATCCCTCTAGGTTTTAATTTCACCCTTTGTTCTCAAACACAGTCTTGGACTTGCACAGACAGGTGTGTCTCCGTGACATTATTATGTTATTTTTTCTGGCTGCTTATCAGGTCACACTTTACCAGCAGCACAGGGTTTAGGAAGGGTGGAGGCCTGCTGTCAGGGGTGTTGCTTGACATCGTGACATTTTGGCTGAGAGATAACCAAGCAGGCCCCCACCAGACTACTGCCACGGAGGTGCCGTTATTGGCCCCATCATCTGGTCTGTTGATTAGCAGGATATCTGCAAAACTACTCTACAAACTTAAAGTAGAAGTTTTTTACTTTATCTGTAAGGTATAAGAGTTATCTGGTGTTTTTCTTCTCACCATATTTACAAAAGAGCCTTTAACACTAAATATTATCCAGTCTTTGTATGATGTGTTAAGACGAACCTGAAAATGTTCGTCTCATGTTTCTCTGAATGGCCTGTTTTTCTGCAGTTTTTTGTGTCACACTCTGAGTTCTTCCTTGTAGTTTTATTTTCCAAATCTTTCCCCTCACGCTGACACTTGTTTTCCTGGTTTTGGTAACTGGTTCTTGCATTGACTTGTCTCAAGTTGCATCAGTTCTCTCCGTTGTGAATGTGATTAGTACGTCTTCACCTCCTCTGCCATTTTCACTGAGTCACCAACATAAAATAATAATGTCTTTGCCCTAACAGTTGGCAGCGTCAGATCTAAACTAGTTTGCTCAGTGATCTGTTTGGAATCTAAGAGCAACACCCAGTTACGTCTTGGCGTTAAAGGAGAAGAGGAGAGTGAGGAACCAGGTCTGAGTTAAAAGAGGAGGCCCCTGTATGCCTGAGTTTACCATGAATGTTAGTGAGTGTAGTTGGTATTAAGTCACAAATTTCCACCATAGGAAATCGGTTTTTAATGGACTGAAAGCTCTCACAGGAAACTTATGATCACTCACTCATGACAAGGACAGTAAGGAATGGCTTGTCACTACTGTCAGGTCTGTTTATCTCACCGTCACCCACTGATGGCGTTTGTTCGTGTGGAGAGTTTGTGTTTACCTGCATCGTAAAGGAGCTTGTGTTTATCGGGTGAGGTCGGTATGTAAAGTGAATGCATTAGGAGCGAACAGACATGCGTCCACTGACAAAGCAGAGGCCATGAATGAGTTAATCAAATGTGTAATAACTCTGAATACAGACCCACGCTGAAGGACGGCCGCTGCCGGGACGGATGGAGGGAGGAAAAGAGTGAGAGAGAGAGAGAGAAAGACAGAGGGTCTGATCATTGATGGAAGAAGGAGAGATGGCGTGGTGAGACGGGCTAATTTGGGGAGAATTGGGAGATGTACAGAGAAAGAGAGAGATGGGATAGAGGAAGGTGAATGAAAGAGGAGAGATGAGGCATGGTGATCCTGATCTTGAGGGTTAGTTTTAGATGAAAATAGAGAAAATTAGCAGGTAGGGCTTAGGAATGTGGTGTAGTTTATAAGAAAGGTTAAGCTTCCACTTTGTGGCTACATCCATACTACTTAGTTTTCATTTGAAAATGCTGTTTTTAAATTGAAACGATCTCTAGCTACACAAGTGTTTTGGCTCTGTATCAGCTTAATGAAAGAGCTCGGCGTCAAACCAGAGGCAGTAATTGCGAAAAGTTGGAGCAGCGATTTATTTGCTTGGGCCGACTACGAGGTGGAATTGTCGCTGAAAGTAACACAGGAGTATAAGGCGGTGGCCGAGGTTGGGGTTAACAGTGTTTCCTAACTTCTCTGGTTAAGCGGATTTAAAACTCCAGTAATGTGGATGTAGGCTGAGGTCTATAGCTGATGAGAAGCCCATGACGACCTGCTAATGGTGGATATAGAGAGAGAGAAGATGTGGAGACGGTGATATGAAAGCTTATGTTTGCGATGAACAGAAATATCTTTTCTGCAGGAGGCTACAGAAGAACACTTCTTGGCATTTGTGTGTATAACCTGTGTGCTTGCCTGAAACAATGCAAGTCACAATGTGTTAGAGCACCACACACAGTCTGCCTGTGTTTATTTTGGATAGAGCACATTATTTCAGAGCTCAGTGACCTCATCTGTCCGGACTCAGAATCAGACAGGATGCTAAATCACTGGGGAGATGTGCGACGCCTAAATGCGTTTCTTCCTGCTGGGTGAAATGAGCAGGCTATGACAGATGTTTAATCCCCTTTGCTTTTGAGTGATGGATTGGTAATGCTGAACGAAGCGAGAGAGGGAGACAGAATGGAAACTACAGCAGCTAAGTGGAGTGCTGTTTTTCGGCTGCCTGACCCGACCTGAGATCTAATGTACACTTATCTCGCACTGCATCACCTGAGACTTAATGGTATATAGGCAGCGTATCATTATCGTAATAGTATGAAAGATTCCAGTAAGGATGGGCCCTCTTGTTGTCACACACAGAGTCTTGTTCAGTTACTAGTCTGTGAAATGTCTAAGACTGTCTTGTCTGATGAACAGTCCAAAAGATTTAATTTCCCATAATACCAGACAAAGAAAAGCAGCAAATGTTTACATCTGTGAAGGTGTATTTTCTAATGTTGCAGCTTTGTGCTAAAATCAGTAAAATCACGTTTCCCCTCATGGTTTTGGACAGCTGTCGGCATCCGCAGACTTAAAGGGAACGCACCTGTGAAGTCCACCAGTCTGATAGTGCTGTCCGAACATTAGGATACAGCTCAAAGGTTGATGAACTGCCTGCAGAGCTCAGACACATGATCGTATGGAGGATCAGATCTCGAAATTGTGTGTATTGAACCTTCCCAGGAGTACAGTAGCCTCTATAATTCATAAATCTAAGAGGTGTGGCACAACCAGGACTATTCTTTGAGCTGAAAATGCAAATCTGAACAACCAGGGCAGAAGTGAGGGTAATAGAAGAAGTGAAAGTTATCATTCTGTGGTCTGATGACATTAAACAATGTGGCTTCAGGTCTCAAAGAAAGCAGACATGACACTTTACTGTCCTCCCGTCTGAAGTAACTTCCAAACTTGTGAAGACGTCCCACAGAAAGTGGAGTGCCAGATATCTTCGCTGTCTGAGGTGTCAGAGCCGCTTCCTTGCAAAGTATAAAGTTGACATCTGATATATTTCTCCCCTCATCTTTCTCTGCAGTGTCAGGTGACTGGTTTGATGGTAGATAGAGAAGGGGAATTCACAAGAGCCACATATAGACTGAACCTTCTCCTCTGCGGGAAACGTCTATTTGCAGATTTCTGTGTCATCGAGGCTCATATCTAAAAAAGTGTTCTGGTGTCTTACAGGTGTGATTGTTCTCACATTGTGATACTTCACAAGTGTGAAACTCCTGTGTTTCCTGGTTGAGATATTTACTTTGGGATAAAATATTTTTGCTTCATCGTATTTGACACAAAGAAAACTACACCTCTACCAAAGAAGACTGTTATCAACCGTACTCCAGACAAATGTCAGTATGTCATTCTTAGAAATGTCCTGAACCCAAACCAGGGAAACTTAGGTGATTATAACAAAATGAAAGGTTGTAGTTGACCTGAGGGAAAAATCGGGAGAATTTGCTACAGGGTTTAACCGCAGTTTGCCTTTCACGCATGCATAATGCAGCTTGAGGTTTTTTTGGACAGACGCGTTCACAACAGCATCAAATCCTCCACATTATTCAGACGAGAGGTGTAGAAGCTG